TTCTACCAGCTTTGACTTGTCTGAGATAGTGATAGGCCAGACAGTGTTCTACCAGCTTTGACTTGTCAGAGGTGGTGATAGGCCAGACAGTGTTCTACCAGCTTTGACTTGTCTGAGATAGTGATAGGCCAGACAGTGTTCTACCAGCTTTGACTTGTCTGAGATAGTGATAGGCCAGACAGTGTTCTACCAGCTTTGACTTGTCTGAGATAGTGATAGGCCAGACAGTGTTCTACCAGCTTTGACTTGTCAGAGGTGGTGATAGGCCAGACAGTGTTCTACCCAAGATTAGTTTCTGCGTGAAGACATGTTCTCACTCATGACACAACATTTCATGAAAACATTTTACTGTACATACAGAAGTGTTCTAATCACGTATTGAAGTCAGCCACGAGTGACTGCTCCCTCCAGTCTTATCAAACAGAACAGGAGTGTTCTCATACAATATTGTTTAAACAAGACAGTGTTGTGTTTGAGATATTGATCAGGAATAAAGTCTCCAGTTGGCTGACCAGGTCTATTCCTGTTCACAAAAGTATAATTTATTCTGTACCAAGTGAGTGAATAAGCAATGTGTTCTGACTAAATCAACAACTATTGACTATTTATACACAGTATATTTTTCCTTACTATTTTGTGTGTGCAACATTCAGTGTTAGATTAAGTCACTCTCTTCCAGTTGCTGCTTTATACTTTATGCCACTCTATTATAATCGGTCATGTTTTTGGCGTAGTGATGGTCATGTTTTTGGTGCTACCTAGACACTTCTTTTTTTTGGGGGGGTAAATATCTGCTTATGCTGCTAGGCTTCTCAGTTCATCAGATGACTGTCAGCCGAGCCAGGGCAGTCTCAAGGTGTCAGTGACTCCTTCAATCCATTTTCTTCTCGGTCTTCCCCTGTCTCTTGATATTCGATTTTCAGGTTGTACGGACTTGCTGATGTCATCGTTGGTTTCATTCTCATTAGATGGCCAAACCATTTCATTCTTTGTTTCTCAATAATACCTTGAATCAACAAACTTATTTTCCTTTTTTGTTCCAAAAGATATCACAGGAAAAAAAAACATCACAAATTACATCTAATGTGAGTTATTCTTTAATCAGCCAGTTAGTTATTGCAAAGAGAAGTGTAAATATGCAGTTCTGTAAACAGACAGTGAAATACACATTTAAGCTTAAAAGTATTAGGATCAAATCATAGACAACAGATTGGTTATAATTATGAAACCAAATGTTGACAAGGGTGAATCCACAATTTTAACAGGAAAATTAAAAAAAATGTGGACCATACAACAACTAATTAGGCTTGGGAAAAAAAAAAAAAAAAAAACCACACACACAAATAAAGAAAAGACAAGTTAAAAAATCTTAGTTTTACTGTACTTGGTAACCTTTAACCTTTGTTAAATGGAGAAATGGCTAATGGATATGTAGGTACAATAAGATGGCACTGGGGTGAAGTTTAAAACATAAAAGAGAAGGAACATATAAATGGTATTTAGGAAAGACAATGACAATTTATTTTTGAACATTTAGTCTTCCAGTGTGGGTTCAAAAAAAAGGGGAGAACAGAACCATGTTTCTCAAGCAGCCCTTGGTAAAAGTTTCCTAATTAAGTATCTGCTGAAATCAGATGTGTTTGTTATCAATGCAAAAGTTTTACTAGAGGATACTGGATATGTAACGCCTTCTTAGAAGTGTCTGATTCTTTTTTTTGGTCTGTACACAAGAGATTCTGCAGCCATCTTCTTCTTCTTAAAGTCCATGCTGTATGGCCATGGAGGTCATGTTTATCCACAACTTTCTGTCTCGTATACTTTCAATCTACTCTATTAAGGATAGTCCTCCTGGCCATGATGTCAAACCTTCCAGCATCTGTTCTTAGATTGTCTTTTTTTGAGCAATGTGGGCAATCAGTTCTCTTTGTGAATCAGTTTCTTTCAAGAAATCTTCATTACTCTTTTTTTTTAATATTCAGGGTATTCTCATCATTCGTCCATAACACCACATCTTTGCAGTTCCCAAACAAGTTTTCACTAATTTTCCAACTATCCATAATTAACTTCCATAATTTAAGATAGAATTTATAAAGCTTTAAAAAATTCTCTTTCTCGACTAGACTGACAAAAAAAGATTTCATAAAATATTCTACATTTTGTAAAATGCTGCCTTTGCTTGAGTTATTTGACATTTAACTTCTTAATACATCTTCCTTCTTCAGGGCACCCAAGTACTTAAACATATCAACTTGCTTGAGATCTGTCCCTTTTACTTTGATGTTGCATTTTGGAGGGTCAGTTGTCTTTGTAATTACCAATAACTTCTGCAGCAATATGTTCAAGAAACTCAAGGTTGGGGACTCTAGAACTGTGCCCATGTGCACAAGCACCACATGATCCTGCACACGTGCTACAGACAAGCTCTCTCCCTGCAGTAGACAGACTGCAGGTGTGGCCGGTTGGCATGGCAATAGAAACCAGCCGCATGGAACAGTTGAAGACATTTGTCACACCACAGACGATGGTGGCCTTCTTACCTGAAGACATATGAGAAGAATATGTGCTGCCGTTAAAACTTCATTTACTTCCTGTATTTACCACTTTTCCAGTAAAGGCAGGGTAGTCTCTGAGCCCAAGAATTTAAGGCCCTATAGCTAGTGCTGTGGCTACGGACTGTGTGTAGGTTAGGATTTTTGCATCTGACAGAAAAAAAAATACACCACCTTAGAGGATTTGAACCTGGGTCTCCTGCATAAGAATCCAGCATTGTTAACAGTTTCTGCTAGCCACAACTCAAGACAGTCCTGCCTTTCACTATATTTTATTTCCATTTGATTATCGATGCATTTATATGTAACCATCTTCATTACCACTTGTAAATCTCCATGGCAGTTGTGCTGAGACCAAATGAAAATGAAGAGATCTTCTGTGTGAGGTACAGTATGTAGATTGAGTATACATTGTCTAGAAACACAGACTATCCTATTTGTTACTTTTGTAACTGATAACAGTTTAAGTAAGAGGTGCTTGCAACTATAACTGAAGACTTACATTAAGCTGATGATATGACAAATATAATGCAGGATGGCACAATCAGGTTTTTAGACATAAAATTAAAAAGGAAAAAAAATGGGCAGTTTACTAACGACAGATAACATATTTCTTTTTACCCAATACATAAGACCATCTGTGTTTAACGTGTTCAACCCCAATTTTGTGTCAAACCTTTCTTCTTTACCAATTTGTGTTTAACTGTAAATCTTGACCAATTTTGTGTTCAGCCCTTGTTCTTGACCAATTTTTGTGTTCAACCCTTTTTCTTGACCAATTTTTGTGTTTAACACTTTTCAGCCTAAATTTTGTGCTAAACCTTTTCAGCCTCATTTTGATGTTAAACCTTTTTTAGAAATATTTTGTTAGCTGTTGGAAACACATTAGGTGTTGTTTTTTTTCCCTTTTAAATGCCAATCAACACATAAAATGTTCTTTTATCTTTTACATTTGCTCACAAGGAACTCTTCTCCAACAGTGGCCATTCCATTGGGTATTTGGCTGCTTTAAAAACTAGGCATTATGGCTGGTTTTACTGTCTTTCTTTGCATATCTGCTGCCAAATCTGGTTCTGAAAGTCTTCATACAAGGAAGTCAAAATCTAATTTACCATACATGATGGTAGTGACCCCAAGGAAAATATCAATGTTTACTTGACAAACAGAAAACCCAGGCAATGTTAGGACTGGTAAACCTCAAGCCAAACACATTTCCAATCTCAAACAATTTAAATCTGACGATAGTGAAATCAGGAAACAGTGAAATCAGAAACTGCTATAAAATTATAAGTCAATAAAATTATAAACCACTAAAAACAAAGTCAATACAATAAAAACCAGTCAAATAAGAAATCACTGTGATCAAAAATCACAGGAATCATATTTCTAAAATCAGAAAACTACCAAAAATATCAACCACAGAAACATGCGGAACAAATAATGAAAAGCATGTATAAATAGGTAAGGGAACACAAGATTACAAGAAGGCATAGATATATTTGAAATTACCTGAACATAAATCTCTAAAAACAAATAAAAAATAATGCACATTCACATACATTTTAACAACCCTGTCAAATGTTCAGTCAAATTACAAATGTGCAAAACATCATCAGTACATAAATGCAGACACACAATGAACTGTTCTATCTCTGAGTAAAAATATGGACATGTATGATTGAAGTGACTGCGAGGGTATACAATATCAAAGCATACGTACAAAGTTATGGTAAAAAATAGCAACAATTATACTGCCTAATAAATTATTTTGTGTCGGCTTACTGCTACAGAAACTTTATTTCTGAAATGAGCATTGTAACTATTGTTTTTTCTTTTTCATTTCTAGGTTGGGAATGGAAGTTCTAATCCAGACTTTGTGTCATTACATGGGAATACTGAAATGTTTAAATGCAATAAATGTGCAAATAAATGTTCTACTCCAGACAACATGTTATCAAATGGAACAGATGTGTTGATTCGATTTTCTGTCATCTCATAGTGACATTTATATTCTAATTCAAACTTCATGTTATAACATCATCATTAATGATCTAATTAAGAACCTCATGTGATCTCATAGGAACCTTATGTTCTAATTCAAATTTCATGTCATCAGACGGTGACATTCATGTTCTGATCAGACCTGTTACCAACTTTCATTCTGGAAGTGTTATAACACTTTATCACTATTCCGAATTCTCATGGTGTTTACAACCCTCAGCTGAAATAGTATCTACTTTTTGTCTAATTATGATTTACCAGAAGGAAAACAACTGATGATTGTTCATATCATGTCTACTCACTGTCATGTGTGAGGCAAATACAAATATCATATAAAATGCAAGCCACCCTCACAGAGAAAGAAAAACCAGTTTCATGAATCATGCACATAAAAGAAAACTTAATAACAAGAGTTAGTTACAGAAACTACAATTGTTGAAAAAGATTCCTTTAATTCTCCTTGGCAGAACCCTTGTCTGCAGGGTTTGGCAGCTTCACCAGTGATGGCTCCACGCCCCAGATGTCCTTGGCATACTCAGAGATAGTCCTGTCACTAGAGAACTTTCCAGATGCAGCCACGTTGAGAGTGGCTTTCACAGCCCACTTCATGGGGTCCTGAAGGTCAAAGAGTTTCAGTTATAAGTCACATGGCACAATTAAACTGGCTTAGACATGCTATGTCTGTCTTAACTAAAGCAGACCTAGAGCTATTCTCAGCATAAACTGTGTGGGTTTGTATACAGTAAGAAAAAGGTAGTATTCGTTCGTCCATTATATGTCACATAGGGCTCGCAGACTATTCCTCTATATTGTTGTATACTGTACAATCACTTTGATATCATGGATGAAATCCAGTCCAGCACTTTTGGCTTCTCTCATCAACGGTCACCCGAGGGTGTCTCTTAAACCAGATATAAGGGCAGTGGACAGCTATTGGCCTATTTAGGTTAAGGCAAAATATGACATTTCATATGAAGAAATGTGTGCCCAGTACAGGATATTTCTAGTATGTCAGAATCTGGCACGCACACACAATTGGGCTGTACAGTGTACTGATATTCTCCCTGTGTGATTTATGGGGTGGGAGGGGGGGGGGGGGGGGGGGGGGGGGGAGTGGGGCATGAATGGTGACATCTGTATGCAATAGAAGTTATCTTTTATAAAGCACACAAAACTGGGCATGCCATGCAATTGAAAACAAGAATATAACACAGCAATAAAACAGTACAATAATGTAACAATGAAACAACAAAATAAAATCATACAACAATATTAGAACAACATAATGAAGTGGTAAAACATTAACACAAAACAGTATTTAAAAAAATATATTAAACAAAATAGCAGACTAAAGAACAAAACACTTTTAAACAATGAATCAATTGTTTAACCAAAAAAAAAAAGACATTATTTATATTGTTTCAAAAAGGGAAAGAAACAATTAGGAAGGCTAAATAAGTCAAAACAATACAGCAGGAACTCAATACTTTAAAATTTTAAGACAGGAAATCATAATTCTTTAAAACAATATGTAAAACACCATTACATTTAACATAATGAAATAAGAAGAGTAAACATCGAATTATAAAATAAAAATCTGTTAAAAGAGAAATAAGACAGTCTCTGTTTCACCAATAAGTAAAATGAGAAACAGTGAACAAACAAAGTTAGGAGAAGCATAAGTATCTGGACCCAAACAGCATCCTAACCGTGAAAAGGAAACATGAATTAAGTTCCGAGCAAACGTTAATGTTAGGGAAAGGAAAACACAGAAGTCAAAAAGAGACCCTACGTAGAACCATCATCTGGGAAGGCTCAACCATGGGCCTGATAAACATCCAAGAGCTAAAACAGATAGCAATGAACTGACAGACATGGAGTTCTATGACCTCTGCCCTATGCGTCACCCTAGGCTGAAGACGAAAGACTAACTAACAAAATATAATGACAAAACTTGTATGTGATTAAAGGAGAAGAACCCGAACAAAACCATGAGAGTGGTCAAACAGATGTACTACCTTGAACAGTTCGGACACTTGTTCCTGGCAATCCACATATGCCCTGAAGTCTGCACAGAGGGCAAACCTGTGGAAGCAACATGATACACAAGTGTTAGATGTCGGTGCATTTTGATTAACAACTGGAAGCTGAAGAAAACTGATTTAATTTCACCGGGTTTTATCCCACATGGACCCATCTCTCTCTGCAGAATGACTAGCTGCTTGGAAAGCATCATACAAAGCACGAACTCCATGGCTCTAATGACAATACCCAGTGATCTCAGTAAAAAAAAAATATACTGAAAAACAACTCACAGCCTCAAAAGCGTGAGGCAAATGGTTTGACTACGTCACCACCTAGATTTTTTATTACAAAAACATCCTTTCTAGGATAAAGGGGTGGAGCACTGGTTAACCCATTCACTCACCTGCTGCATACATGCACCCAGGCACTCTCACCTCATACGTAATAGGTGCATACACACAAAGCCAAGAATTCAACTAGACATTCACATGCATATGTACGTGCATGATTCTAGACAGGCAGAAAAAAAAAAGTCATTGTCACAGCCTGGCAGGCTTGTAGGCAATCATATCTCTCAGAAATATTGTACCTTATATTCAGATTTAATTATTTGAATTAACAGAGTAGTAGATCAGAGGTTGTGTACGGGAATTCGGTTCAAGCTGACTTGATTCACCTTAAGATACTGATAGTTTTTCACAAAATAAGAAAAAGGATGGCATGCTTCATTTTATTCCGGGGATAGTCAATCAGTTATCTAGAAAAATCCCTTGATAATTGAAAATCAAAAAGAATAGGCCACTAACTAGGCAAAAAGCCCAAATTTAGCTGCTCTAACAAAATATCATCACATTTTGTATTTTAGCACATAATTTTACAAATATTCGCAATCATCAAAATGTACCAAGGCTTGGTTTTCATACAGTGATACAATAGTCAAACTGTGTAACAGACTGGGGCCTCACTATCTCAGTGACAGGGGCTTCATTATATTAGAGACTGGGGCCTCCCTATGTTAGATACTGGGGCTTCACTATGCAATACTTCCATAGCTAGCTATAGCTAGACTCCGGCCAGTCTCCATGTGGAGGGTTTTTTAAATAAGATAATGTTAGTGTTCTGGCACAGACTTGTACAAACATCTCTAAAGTTCTGGCCCAGACTTGTACAAACATCTCTGAAGTTTTGGCCCAGACTTGTACAAACATCTCTGAAGTTTTGGCCCAGACTTGTACAAACATCTCTGAAGTTTTGGCACAGACTTGTACAAACATCTCTGAAGTTTTGGCCCAAACTTGTACAAACATCTCTGAAGTTTTGGCACAGACTTGTACAAACATCTCTGAAGTTTTGGCCCAGACTTGTACAAACATCTCTGAAGTTTTGGTACAGACTTGTATACAAACATGGTTCTGTTTGTCGCATTATGGTGACATAGAGATGCTGACAATGGCCACCTGCAAACATGAGTGGCTGGTGCCACAGATGTCACATGATTACCTGTCATTGTTGAGAAGGCCTTGGTAGAGGTCCGAGAACAGGTTGGGATCCTCTGGAGAGAAGTAGCCGCCGTTGACTTGGTCTAATGCCTGCTTCAGCTCTGCATCATTCTCATAGAATGAACGTGGGTTGTAGCTGTGAAATAAGTGGAGATTACGTATAAACCAAAACAACAGTGTAATCACATCAACTATCTTCAAACATTACCAAAAAAGCAAATAAAGAGAACACTATAGCAGATAATGGGACAAAAAAGCTCAGTTTCTACATTTGCTTTTAACTTCAGGTATAAAGAATTAATGTCTGCTTTGGAGAAAACAACGTCTGTCTTTGTCTTTAGGTTTGAAGACCCAGTGTTCGTCTTAGAGAAATAATGTGTCTCTGACTTCAGGTTTGGAAAAACAATGTCTGTCTCATACGATCTTTTAGGTTACATAACATGGCACTGCCCATCCTAATGCCACTGCTCCTGCCAATTAATTAAAATTGTTAATCCCAACGATGACTGAGCAGTTGCATACCTTCTCCTTCTTCTTTTCTCTACTGCTGGAATGCCTCACAGCATCAAGAGATCTCTGGAACAGGCCCTTCTGTTCCCTTTGTACTAATTACTTGTTAGTGTCTCCTACATATCTGTGGCCCATCTTCTGCACAGTCAACTATGGTTCTGTTACAGCTGTATCTGTATAACAGTGCTCTGCCCTGTATGTTGTCAATCCTGCTACATGGCCACTTTGCTGTTTACAGCTAAAGTTCAGTATTTGTTCTGTGCAGACTCTTCTCTTGAAATCACCACTCCTAAGTTGATATTTCCTTGTTACACATGGCATAATATGTTAACGTTTCATTTCTATACAAGTACAAGTCCTCTAAAGCCGTTACCAGGATCCACAGAGTAATTCTGTCATTACTAACAGTTAGAAGTTGCAATAAAGATCGTTCACACACCCACACACACAAAAAAGCATCATAATTAAAACAACAGCAGGCGATCTATTAAACAAAAAAGGACCTAGCGACAAAAACTAACCCTTTACGGAAGAGCTCCTCCACTTCATCGACTGTCATGCCAAAGATGAATATGTTCTCTTTGCCCATCTCTTCCATCATTTCCACATTGGCGCCATCCAGGGTTCCAATGGTCAGAGCTCCATTCAACTACAACAGTAAGCAAGGCTGCCTTGTAGATTATTGCATAAATGCAGCCACATGGAACAAAACTATCCTCATATTGAATGGCTCTAGTCATATGTCACCAGCAAGAAAATCAAAAGTCACAATTTTGAGAGCATTCATCTGCCCTGTAGCAACATATGGATCTCAGTTGAGGATTTTCTCAGTCAGGGAAACAATGGACACTTTTGAACTGAAATGCTATTAAAAGATTCTTGGAATACCATGGACCAAGAAGAAAAGAAATTCCTAAAAGATCTGAACATCAAGGAAGATTGCCTAGTTAACAGTTTCTAATCTCAAAAACTGATTATATTTTGGCCATATGAAGTAGTACCAAAGAGGATCTGAAAGGCATGATACCAGGAAAGAGGGACAGGAGCCTAGCATGAAAACTGGCACAGGATATAAATTCCACATTGGGCAGGACAGTGCATGAGGCAGGTGATCTGGTGAGAGACTGAGCTTCCTTCTGGCAGACTATGACACTGGCATTCTGCAAAGAACCTGCTACATGATGATGAGTCTAAGTGACAAAAGTTACATGTAATACAAATCTGGTAATCTGCTACACAATTGTGGTCACAAACAATGGTAACAATTAAAATCAACTATGGTTCGTATTTATGATTTATCTGTTTTTGCTCAGCTTGTACTGGATTACGTGTGTGTGTGTTGTAGCTAGAATGTAACTTCCTGATCTCTCTACTGCTGAGTGTACCGTTGTCTTAAGTCTGACAATCCCTTAAAAAATCCTGCCTTGGATCAAATCCTGAGTGGCTCTCTCCCAACAACAAATCTTCATGCTTGCCAATAGGTTCTGGTAACTGTCAAACATACAACCATTTTTACTGTTGATAAATTATCATCAGTTAGTTGTACTTTATTAACCTCTGATGTGTTCAGCTGAGCTGGATGAAAACAGCACAGCCCATAGGTAAAACTATTTTTTCTTCAGAGTGATGATTAAGAACCATCACACTTACCATCAGGTGAATGTATCCTTACTGAAATGATTAAAAACCATCATACTTACCATCAGGTGAATGTATCCTTACTGAAATGACAGAACTATCATACTTACCATCAGGTGAATGTATCCTTACTGAAATGATTGAAAACCATCATACTTACAGTCAGGTGAATGTATCCTTACTGAAATGATTGAAAACCATCATACTCAACAACAACAAAAGTGAATGGATTCAGACTGGAATCATTGAAAACCAGCAAACACACCATCAAGTGAGTGAATCTTTACTGAAATAATTAAGAACGATTAAACTCACCATGAACTTCATGTTTCCTGTGCCAGAGGCTTCAGTTCCAGCCAGAGAAATCTGCTCACTGAGGTCAGCGGCAGGGATGATCTTTTCGGCCAAAGACACCCGGTAGTTCTCCAGATAGATGACCTTGAGTCGGTCGCCGATGATCGGGTCATTGTTGACCACTCTGCCTACATTGTTGATGAGTTTAATGATCATCTTGGCAATGTGGTAGCCTGGAGCAGCCTGCAAGGACATCCACAAGTTAGATCCAACATCTCAGTAACATTAACAAGAGATATTTCAAGCATGTTCAATCCCACATATCTGTTACATCAACACTTTTGAAATGAACGTTTGTGTGCTTTAGAATAACAATTTTGAATGTTAATAGCATTAAATGACACAAATATTTGGCAAAAGGGGTTAATGTCATAAATATAATAAACTGGATTATGTAGAAAGCACTTCAGGGTGAAACAAGCACAATAGGAGTCTTCAGATTTATAGAAGTCGCCCTTTGACAAGTGTTTCGACTCCTTTTTCTCCCAAACATTATTTGGGGGCAGGACAGCCAGGATCATGACTTCAGGGTTTTGGGACTGTCCTGTTCGCTTTCAGAACCTTACCAACAACAACAAAAACAGATTCTGTTTACAGCTAGTGTCATTTGTGTTATAATGGTCAATACTGGCTATGTATGCCAGGCATCTACACTGCTCTTTAGAAGGTGACACATGATCGCACTGGTGAGGATTCAGCCAGCTTCTCACACCTACCAAAATCCTTGTTGTCAACCCGCCTCTCGGTCTTTATGATACCAGCCCGCCTCTGGGTCACTATGATACCGACCTGCCTCTTGGTCACTATGATACAGGCCTGCCTGTGGGTCACTATGATACAGGCCTGCCTGTGGGTCACTATGATACAGGCCTGCCTCTGGGTCACTATGATACAGGCTTGCCTGTGGGTCACTATGATACAGGCCTGCCTGTGGGTCACTATGATACAGGCCTGCCTGTGGGTCACTATGATACTATATGTCAGAATGGCAATGTTCCTTCCTCATACTCTATTCTTGGCTGTGCCTCAGCTCTTGCCCAAATGAAGCCAGCTCCTCACCACACTAACATTAGTCGTCCTTACCCTGATGTAGGTATTTCTTCTGTGTAACACACCACATTATCACTGGCAGTTGGAACTTGGTGATTTCCTACTGATTATAACAGCCTGACAGAATGGCTGAAATGCTTGCACAAGACTGTCTGGCTAATCAACATAGTATGGACCTTGAGAAGCTAGCCAGTTATTTTGTCACTAGGAATCCAAACCAGTATACTGAGATCTTTCCACCACATATTTCCGGTTACTCCAGATCCAGTATGAGACTTTCTCAGCCACCTCTTTGAACTGCCTCAGTGCCCTCCTCCTCATGTTCATCAAAACCTCAATTGCTTCAGGACATTATAAATGTAGATAACTAACAAACCCCTTGCAGCTACCTAGATGGTGATAGGCTGCACCGTATACTCTGGTTACCAGATCACTTTACTTCGCCAATGTGTATGTGTACTATTCCTTGATTCTCCGCTCATATGGGAAGCTGAGCCCAACCAGTACTAGATGACGAGCAGTCCAGAAGTGTAGCACAATGTCTGGTCTCAACTGCATCTGCCAAACCTTCGTGCAACCCGTGAAAGACAGAAAGTTTGCTACCATGTTGATATTACGGTCTGATTTCTGCCAAGCTTTGAGGAAGTGTATGCATGGTTTTTTGGACCGGCTCCCTTGATGACTCTCATCATCATCTAGTAAACTACGTAGGCCCAACTCTCTCAGAACTTTGCTTTGCCTCCTTATGGACCAGCCCGTATTAAGTGCTTTCGTGTATGTAGACAGTATATTCCAACATCCCCTCCACCTATTCAAGATACATAACGAAACAGTGATCTCTAATCATGACATGACACATACAGTTCCTTTAAAATCTGTCTCTAACAACATACCTTTCCTCCGACCATGATGGTCCTGGGAACAAACGGAGCCTGTGGGTTCTTCTTCAGCCTGTTGTAGAGGGTGATGATGTGCAGACAGTTCATCAGCTGCCTCTTGTACTCATGGATCCTCTTCACCTGCATGTCAAACATGGAGGCAGTGTTCACCTTGATGTGGTAGTTGGTCTGAAGGTACTGGGCAAGCTTCATCTTGTTCTCCTGAGTAACCACAAGACACAAATCCATTAAAAACAAAAACATAAACCACACATAAACAATACTTCTTTTAACAATTTTCATCTTTTAATGGATAATTACAGTAACAAATATTACATTACATCTCAAACTGCACAATCTCAAAATATAACAAACAACCACTCTTTATCTACCTTTCATTTCTCAGTGTAAAGTACACTCAGGCAACTCAGTTAAACATTGTAGACTACATGACTGGTTACATTTTGCAGCTCAAGTTTTCTATGAGGTAAAATAGCCAATATCATGCCCACCCTTCACAGCTGCCTTTTATGACATGTATTGAATGTTAATGTTACCATTCATTGCTTCTATTATGGGCCCAAATCTTACAGAGGTAATCTTAAAAAGTACAGAAAAACTCACGAAAACGGACATTCCACTGACCTGCTTGATTTTCATAAAGTTTCGGAGGAAAGCTTCCTCTTTCGACAGAGGAGTTAATTTTCTCAGCTCGTTAAGATTGGTAACCCAAGTTTCACCAATTTTCTGTGAATGATAAACAACAATGTATACAAAACTCTCAACAAAACAGATCAGTAACATATTCACCTAAGATGTTCCTCGAAATTCCCAATCTGTGAAAAAGGCTGTTTATCACAACTGCTCTAAGCAACAATCAAATCATTCTGCAGGTCCCTGGACCAGTTAAAGTGGCCCATTCATCCATGTAAATGGCAATGGACTGCTAAGAGTAGCAAACTAAGTAACTCCCTAGACACCAGCATTAAATACACAATAATATAAGGTGTTTGTTAAGTATTATGAACTCTGTATGCAGAACAAACACGAAAAACCAAATAACTTGATGTCATTCAAAAATATGCTAAAACAAATCTTTAAATTAGTTACTATAGTCACTGCTAAGTACCTGTGGCATATGCATTATAACAGACGTTGGAAATGTCCATCACAGACTTCAAGACATTATTGTACACATTTCTCCATATCGTGAAATACCTTTTGCAATGTGTCTGTTGTTATTTCATGACTGGTAATTCTGACCGCTTCTGTTGATAACACCATTTGTTTTAAGGGCAAAGAATTACTCCAGTAGATGACAGCCATTCACTGCATACTGCTTCGCAACTGACTGTGCAGCAAATTTTTTTTTTATGACATCACTCTTGACATTTGTTCTATACATAAAGTGTAGTGAGACGGTAAAAAATGACAGCTGCCTGGACTTCTAAAGACATTTCTGTACACATTTTAAACTATGTTGACCTGACCGCCAATATCATTTTTATTTTACAATCTGCCACACTCCCCCCCCCCCCCCCCCCAAGCTTCAAACAATTATGATTCTAAATAACTTGAAAGCGAATGTGAAAATGTTGTGGACAGACATCCCAACTTGAGCGCATACATATGTATGTAATCTTCTTTTTCTCGTCGGTGTTCATCACCTACAAACTTCAGCAGGATGAAACCCATTTTACAGATCTAGCTTATTTGTATGCAGTCTCTTAGTTCCTTGTCCATCAGGCACATGTACTGTGACTTCAAAGGATGCCGTCATTAAGTTCCTTGTCCATCAGGCATATGTACTGTGACTTCAAAGGATGCCATCATTAAGTTCCTTGTCCATCAGGCACATGTACTGTGACTTCAAAGGATGCCATCATTAAGTTCCTTGTCCATCAGGCACATGTACTGTGACTTCAAAGTATGCCGTCATTAAGTTCCTTGTCCATCAGGCATATGTACTGTGACTTCAAAGGATGCCGTCATTAAGTTCGACTCCTACAAGGCAAGACAGTGGGTCCATTCTTGTTTTTTCCCTAAAATTTGAGCTCAAGCACCCACATGAGGAATGTGAACCAAAAGCTGCATATTTATCTTACTTATGCTGTGTGGACAGATTTTCTCATTTGATCGGTTTCCCCCACAGAGTGACCTATGTTACAGAAAGTGAACATATCTAAGGACAGAGAACCAGTTACCTCAGCAATGGCGTCAGACAGTCCAGGGTTGCACAATAGAAGCCAACGTCGCGGAGTGATGCCGTTGGTCTTGTTCTGGAACTTTTTGGGAAACATCTCATAGAAGTCTTTGAAGCTAAACACAAAAGCAGACAATAACTGATTGGGACTTCAAATCTTTTAAACCTTATACAAATATAAATATGGTGTAATGTGTTTTGAAACTTGACATAAATACAAATCTAGTTTGTAAGGGGGTGGGAGTTGGGGTGTATTGTCATGAAGTGGTCAAGTTATGTGCCTGGAGCTTTGATTATGAGTTCATTTACTGGCTGCGTCATTCTCTTTACGACTGCATTTTTTATGAAGATCTCTGAGCGGTGCTGAAAGAGCTACGGAGTTTGTGTTTTGTGTGACACTCTCAGCAAGTGGTTAACCATTCTGCGGAAGGCTAGAGAAAGAGAGAGAGAGAGAAAGAGAGAGAGAGAGAAGGAACGAACGAACGAGAGAGAGAGAGAGAGAGAGAGAGAGAGAGAGAGAGAGAGAGAGAGAGAGAGAGAGAGAGAGAGAGAGAGAGAGAGAGAGAGAGAGAGAGAGAGAGAGAGAGAGAGAGAGAGAGAGCTATATGGGATAAAACACAGTGCATCGAAGCTGACCCTCTCACTTTTTCATCTGCAACTAGTACCCCTTTCAAAATGAATGGCAAACATTTCATCAATGATTTTCTTTGCCTTATGCATTTGCAGATTGTATTGTGGTTTACTGCTAGTCTGTCGGTCTGTATTTGCTGGACTAACACATCCAATTCAACAAACTCCTAATCAGCAACTTTTAACATGCTTGAAAAGGACAGTGGCTCTATGCCCCCCCCCCCCTCTCCCCTAAACAACCCACATGAAAGATTGATAATCTAAATGATATCAGTACTTACGTGTTTTTCTTGATGATCTCCGAGTGTATTGCTGCCACTCCATTGACTGCCTTGCTTCCAACGATGCAAACATGAGCCATGTTGATTTTCTTCTCAGGACCCTCCTCAACCAAGGACATTCGTGCCAGTCTGCCAAAATCTCCTGGCCAGCGCTTGCCAACTTCCTGCAAATTAAGAGGTTAAACTGCAGACGGAGACAAATATTAGAAAACAGAGGTTAAAATGCAGATGTATACAAATATAAGAAATCAAAGATTAAACTGCAAATGGAGACAAACATTATCAGAAAACAGAGGTTAAACTGCAGAAGAGTCAAATATTATCAGAAAATCGTGGTTCAACTCAGACAGTTGCATATATTATCAGAAAAACCAAATTAAACTGCAGATGCAGACAACAATTATCAGGTTAAACTGCAGACAGCAGCAAATATTATCAGAAAACCTATGTTAAACTGCAGATGGAGACAAATATTATCAGAAAACTGAGGTTAAACTGCAGATGGAGACAAATATTATCAGAAAAATGAGGTTAAACTTCAAAGGGAGACAAATAATATTAGAAAACAGAGGTTAAACTGCAGTTGGAGACAAATATAAGAAAACAGAGATTAATCTGCAAACGGATACAAACATTATCAGAAAACTGAGGTTAGACTTCAAAGGGAGACAAATATTATCAGAAAACAGAGGTTAAACTACAGAGCTTTGAGGTTTGAACAATTAATCAACATCATGGCACACAGGTAGCAACCCATAAGTGCACCGTTCTACTTCTAACTCAAGTCAGAGTGCGAAGAAGCTCAGCACAGTGCACAGACTCTGTAGCACCGACGAGGATCCTGAAATACTTTGAGTAGATTTTTAACTAACAATTTTTGCCTTGGTAGCGCCGATAGGCAACTCTTTTCAATTTCCAACTGCATGAAAATATCCCAGCCCTCACCGAGGATTGAACCCAGAACCTAGAGCACTCAAGGCGAACACGATGTCTCGAGACCAGGAGCCACCCTTAAACTGCAGAAGAGTCAAATATCAGAAAACAGAAGTGATGCCATACTATGTGTTTCTATCAACAAGAACTTATTAGCAGATCTTTGCTTGTAAAATTGTCAGGATTTAAAGTACCAGATCAACACCAGTGCCACATTACTACATGTGTCTCTCACTGAGCTGAGCTGAGCTCTGACTGTAGCACTGCTAGGATTTCAAATGAAAGACTGTAATAAGCCCTTGACCAGTGGTTCCCAACCTTCCTAATGCTGCGACTCTTTAATACAGTTTATCATGGTATGGTGACCCCTAACCATACAATTACTTTCGTTACTACTTCATAACTACAATGCATATGTGTTTTCTGATGGTCTTAGGCAACCCCTGTGAAAGGGTAGTTCAACCCAAAAAAGGGTCGCGACCAACAGGTTGAGAACCACTGACCTAGACTATCAAAGCTTCTACCTGCAAGAACCTTAGGTTGATCTCATACAAAATGGCCAAATGACGAGGCAGAACATGGCCCAGGAGTCCCACTGGCCAGCGCTCCAGAGCTTCAGGGAGAACTGTGTGGTTGGTGTATGCACAGGTTCTTGTAGTGATGTCCCAGGCCTGCCAGAATACACATTAAAATATTGTTGTTACTGTCAGGCAAAGTTATACAGCAGGTTATTATTGATTAGTAAAGTTATATATACTGCTCTCCTTGTTAAGCAGTTATACATACTGTTATTATTTAAAGGATTAAATGGGAGAAATTCAAGAAAGGTGAACAAACAAGAAATCTCTGGACAACTGATGGTATTAAAAGGTATAATACAAAGAAGATGGTGATATACTGGGCACATCCTGAGATAAAGCAACCACAAAATTCACCAAGCAGACATTTAAAGGGAAGCAAAGAGATTGAAGAAATGAGGAACATCCCCCCCCCCCCCCCCCCACCCACCCCCCCCCCCCCCCCCCCCCCCCCCCACCAAACTAAAGGTACTGACTGGATCCATCCATAATATTGAAACAATTACACAAGATAGAATTGAATGAAGAAATAGACTGTGAGCCCCATTTAACATATAATGGCACAATAGGATATTGATGATGATAAAGTAAGGTTATAAATCATAATCTTTTTCTTCCTCTGTCCTTTATCCCCCTAATGAGTATAGGCCCTCAACCAACTCAAGTCAAGTTATCCTTCTTCTTCTTCTTCTTCTGCCTTTCTATCCCCCAATGGAACATAGGCCCTCAACCAACTCACGCCAAGTCGTTCTATCCTTCGCCATTGCATGGAGCTCTCCCCATGTCCTCCCAATCTTTCTAACATCGTTCTCCAGCTCTCTTCTCCATGTGTTTTTTGGTTATCCTATTCCTTGCCAAAACACACATCTCACCCCATGTCCTCCCAATCTTTTTCACTTCACTCTGGTTTTCTTCTCCATGTGATTTATTTGGTCTGCCCCTGTTATGCACCTGTGGGTTCCAGTACAAAGTATTCTAGTTAAACTGTTATCAGGTTTTCTAAGTGTGTGTCCTATCCAATGACAGCGTCTTTTCTTCACCTCTTGGTCCACCGGAACTTGTTTAGTTCTCTCTCAAAGCTCAACATTAGTTTTCATACTGTTATGTAAAGCAAGTTACATTATGGTAAGCACATTTTGTTCATGATTCTCCCTGGGATCTGCGGCGCTATTTTGGTTAGTGCACACGCTTACCAAGCAAACAGACTGGGTTCAATGCCCAGCAGTAGCTACATTCAGAAAAGTACACATTCAGGCTCAAGCCAGCTTAGCAAACTGGGCACTAGACAATTGTTAAGAAATTGTATGGGTATTTTCTTGTAAGCGTTGACCAGCTGTAAACTCCAGCAGAAAGCTCTGGTTCTTCATCCACTTCTAAAATTTGGTCTTATTCCAGAACTTGAATTTTGTGTGCACATCCATTTTCAGATCTGGCTTATCTGTATGCAGACTGTTGGTTCCTTAAGTCTCAGGCAGATGCACACTGACTTTAAAGGAAGCTTCCATAATTAGTCATCATCTTGACAGTTGGTGTGACTTAGTTCACTGTGATAGCTACCACTGTGATAACTACAGGTGTTATAACTACAGGTGTGATAACTACAGGTGTAATTCTGGAACTCTCATGTTCATCAAACAGATGCTGTATGCAATAATGGACCTAAAAATCTAGCAAGAAGTGATTTTTTCCTAAAATCAGTAACTGAACGTAACTGATTAGGAAATATGCACGCATGTTCAGATCTGGGAGTAATACAGACAAGCAGCCACGAGACATATTCAAGATTACCTCCTGCCATGCCAGCCTATAAATCAGTGTGAATGCAGGTCAACTGTGATGACATAACAGACACAGTTAAACAAGGAAGTACAAACAGAATCTGATTCGCAGCTAGAGCTCTATGCTCCACAGCAAGTCGACACAGATTAGCATATTGGTCAGGCTACCAGACACTGGACTAACCTTGTCCCATGGAACATTCTCAATGTCCACCAGGATTCTCATCAGCTCCGGGATGGCTAGAGATGGGTGAGTGTCATTCAGCTGGATGGCCACCTGGTTGTCACATTGATATTGGCAAGATCATTTTTTTTTTAATATTAGGAAAAATTCAGAATAATATAATACAGAGATGAACTGCAGCAACATGGTTTACTTATTAAGTAGCTGGCGGTTCTTTGCAGACCACACACGGCGCCCAAGAAAGATTATTGGCCCTCTTGCCAATACTGATGCCTCATGCACTTCCATGCCAAAGGTGTTTCTTCTTCTGTGCTCACCCATAAAAGGGCGACTGGTACGTTGTATTGGGGTTTACAACTAGGCTTTGATTTCTATACTTTTCGGTCTAACACATCCAATTTCAGCAAAACATCTAATTAGCCTTTTACAATATGCTTGTTAGTAGGAAATTTAAAGAACAAACTTTCCTTACACACATGCACGCACACACACACAAAGAAACAATTGGCTTTCTGTAAGTGTATTACAGTTACCAGGATAAGATCTAAGGATGAACTATTAAATGTGTATTATCATCAAGAATGATCAATAAGAGTAAGATCATAAAACAGAGCTAGGCCTTCTTCTGACAGTCATGCCAGGTGGCACTGATCATCGTGTCCTGTCCATAGCCTTAAGTCCTGTTGTCTACAGCCTTCAGACCTGTCGTCTACAGCCTTCTGACCTGTCGTCTACAGCCTTCAGACCTGTCGTCTACAGCCTTCAGACCTGTCGTCTACAGCCTTTACCTGTCGTCTACAGCCTTCAGACCTGTCGTCTACAGCCTTCAGACCTGTCATCTACAGCCTTCAGACCTGTCGTCTACAGCCTTCAGACCTGTCGTCTACAGCCTTCAGACCTGTCGTCTACAGCCTTCAGTCCTGTCGTCTACAGCCTTCAGACCTGTCATCTACAGCCTTCAGACCTGTCGTCTACAGCCTTCAGTCCTGTCATCTACAGCCTTCAGACCTGTCGTCTACAGCCTTTAGACCTGTCGTCTACAGCCTGCAGTCCTGTCGTCTACAGCCTGCAGTCCTGTCGTCTACAGCCTTCAGTCCTGTCTTCTACAGCCTTCAGTCCTGTCATCTACAGCCTTCAGTCCTGTCATCTACAGCCTTCAGTCCTGTCATCTACAGCCTTCAGTCCTGTCGTCTACAGCCTTCAGTCCTGTCGTCTACAGCCTGCAGACCTGTCGTCTACAGCCTGCAGTCCTGTCGTCTACAGCCTGCAGTCCTGTCGTCTACAGCCTGCAGTCCTGTCGTCTACAGCCTGCAGTCCTGTCGTCTACAGCCTTCAGTCCTGTCGTCTACAGCCCTCAGTCCTGTCGTCTACAGCCCTCAGTTCTGTCGTCTACAGCCTTCAGTCCTGTCGTCTACAGCCTTCAGTCCTGTTGTCTACAGCCTTCAGTCCTGTCGTCTACAGCCTTCAGTCCTGTTGTCTACAGCCTTCAGTCCTGTTATCTACAGCCTTCAGTCCTGTCATCTACAGCCTTCAGTCCTGTCATCTACAGCCCTCAGTCCTGTCATCTACAGCCTTCAGTCCTGTCATCTACAGCCCTCAGTCCTGTCATCTACAGCCCTCAGTCCTGTCATCTACAGCCTTCAGTCCTGTCGTCTACAACCTTCAGTACTGTCTACAGCCTCAAGTCCTGTCATCTACAGCCTTCAGTCCTGTCGTCTACAGCCTTCAGTCCTGTCATCTACAGCCTTCAGTCCTGTCATCTACAGCCTTTAGTCCTGTCATCTACAGCCTTCAGTCCTGTCATCTACAGCCTTCAGTCCTGTCGTCTACAGCCTTCAGTCCTGTCGTCTACAGCCTTCAGACCTGTCGTCTACAGCCTGCAGTCCTGTCGTCTACAGCCTGCAGTCCTGTCGTCTACAGCCTGCAGTCCTGTCGTCTACAGCCTGCAGTCCTGTCGTCTACAGCCTTCAGTCCTGTCATCTACAGCCTTCAGTCCTGTCGTCTACAGCCCTCAGTCAGTCCTGTCATCTACAGCCCTCAGTCCTGTCGTCTACAGCCTTCAGTCCTGTCATCTACAGCCTTCAGTCCTGTCATCTACAGCCTTTAGTCCTGTCGTCTACAGCCTTCAGTCCTGTCGTCTACAGCCTGCAGTCCTGTCGTCTACAGCCTCCAGTCCTGTCATCTACAGCCTCCAGTCCTGTCATCTACAGCCTTCAGTCCTGTCGTCTACAGCCTCAAGTCCTGTCATCTCCAGCCTTTAGTCCTGTTGTCTACAGCCTTCAGTCCTGTCATCTACAGCCTTCAGTCCTGTCGTCTACAGCCTTCAGTCCTGTCATCTACAGCCTTCAGTCCTGTCGTCTACAGCCTTCAGTCTCGTCTACTGTTAATCAATTCTTATACAGGTTTAACTCCATGTCATGACATCAAACTAGCTTTGTCTCTCCTGCCTTGCTTTTTCCCCAGTTTCTGGTTGTCTCAACTTGCTCCAGTTTTTCCTTTCTCACGATGAGCGCAAAAGAATAAATGAACCCCATACAAACTTTTCTTTTTTCTTCATATAGCCTAAAAAGCTGCTTGGCATGCCGTGTTGTGGTTTACAGCTAGGCTGCAATACATGTGATCCAGTTAAACACATTACATTTCAGCAAACTTCTAATTAGTTGTCATTTACAACACAACTGTTAAGCAGCAGTAGGTTTATCCTTATCCTCAAAGAGGGAACTCAGAACCCACATGGGGGGGGGGGGGGTGTCAGTAATCAGTTCTCTGTGTAAATACTAAAATACTATACAACCAACTTAAGAATAAGTTTTTCAGTAGGACACACATCTAGAATGTCTGGGATAATTTGACATTATTGAGATATATAAAGGATGGGTTTTCCAAAAGAATAACAGTTAACAGGGATAAGCAATAAAGAGAAGATAACTCAAGTGTAATATGATCATCAAGAATAAGATCTTCGTTTTCTGTGCTCACACTTAAAAGGTAGTTGGCACACTGTGTCGTGGTTTACAGCTAGGCTGCGAGATGTGTACTTTCTGGCATAAAAAATTTGATTAAAAAAAAACCCTAATTAATCCCCTTTCACAAAATGCTTGCTAGGATAGCCATGGGTCTATCCCTCCTCCCTCCCCCAAGGTTGTTCTTCCCAGCCTCAAACTGGTGCAGATAAATCCACATGGGGAGAGCACATCTAAAAAAATGTTTACGCAAATGTACTATCATCAAAGATGAGATCTAAAAACAGGACTCTAAAAATGTGGTCAACAAAGATGAGATCTAAAAAGAGGTTTTTAAAAAATCGATTGTGGTCATCAAAGATGAGATCTAAAAATAGGTTTCCAAAAATGTGGTCATCAAAGGTGAGATCTAAAAAAGAGGTTGTCAAAAATGTATTGTAGTCATCAAGGTTGAGATCTAAAAAATGGGTTTCCGAAAATGTGGTAATTAAGGATGAGATCTAAAAATAGGTTTCCAAAACTGTGGTAATTAAGGATGAGATCTAAAAAGAGGTTTTTAAAAATGTATCATGGTCATCAAGGATGAGATCTAAAAAGGGTTTTAAAAAAATACTGTGGTTATCAAGGATGAGATCTAAAAATAGGTTTCTGAAAATGTAGTCATCAAGGATGAGATCTAAAATGAGGTTTTCAAAAACATGGTCATCAAGGATGAGATCTAAAAACAGGTTTCCAAACATGTGGTCATCAAAGATAAGATCTAAAAACATGTTTCCAAAAATATATTGTACTCGTCAAGGATGAGATCTAAAAACAGGTTTCCAAACATGTGGTCATCAAAGATGAGATCCAAAAACATGTTTCCAAAAATGTATGGTATTCATCAAGGATGAGATCAAAAAACGGGTTTCTAAAGGTGTATTGTGGTCATCAAGGATGAGATCTAAAAACAATATTCCTAAAGTGTACTGTTGTCATCAAGGATAAGATCCAATGAAAACATTCATTCAGAAGGGTCATCAAGGATGAGTTTCTATTATCAACAACAACATAACCATTAAGGATAGAGAAATATGTAAACTGTGCTTCAAGCCTGTTCTTGGAAGCTCTCACACCTGCTTGTGTAGAAGACACTGATATTACTCAAAATCTGGTTGAAATGGGCAGATGTTATTTTAGCCAGCAGTCTGATGGTCAGTGTATGCTTACCTTGTCAGGGAAAGTGTCGAAAGAAGTCCTCACTGGCTTGGCCTGCCCAAAAGAAGAAGATTTGAACCTTCGAATGAGATCCTGTAGGGAGGCTGTCACCATGAAATACTCCTGCTTCAGACGCAACTCCTTGCCTTCAAACACCTTCAAAAAACAAGATGCCAAATACATCAAAATCTGCAATCCTTATGAAAATGTGTCTCGTGTTAAAAAGTAAGTGTCTAGCTTCTGATATACTCAGTTTTATCAAAGAGTGAGCAGTATTTGCAAAGAACATAGTTTCCATCACACACAAAAACAGGCAATATTCTCACCTATACCACACACCCGAGGCCTTCCGTCTATTTTCCAAAATGTAAAATTTTGTCTGCTCATAATTTAAATATAGCATTCCAGCATACATATATTAAATAGATATCTGGTTTTAAATATCTTCGAACAACATTCAATAAAGATAGTAAACTGGACATCGGATGCAGTAAAGCAGGCCAGGTATTGGAACAGATAGCCCCCCCCCCCCCCAACAGCATAAGGCAATCCCAATCAGCACAAAGAAACATCTCATACAAAGTATATTCATTCCCACCCTATGCTATCAGTGCCAGACGTGGTCAGTCACAACAAAACATAAAAGAAAATTAGTAACCATGGAAATGAGGTATCTGAGAAGGATTGTAAGAGTGACCAGAAAAGATAAAATCAAGAATTAGGTCATAGGAGATAAAAGTCGGCACAGAACCATTCCAAATTACATATAAAGACAGCAAATCAAAAGGCTTGTCCACTTGCAGCAAATTCCTTCTGATGCTGTACCATACAAGGCATATGAGAAAAGAGAAGAAAGGCACTGACCAAGAGGCAGACCAAGAACAAGATAGGAAGATAACATCAGAGAAACTCTACACCACCACAATGTGTCTATGGTTGAAGCAGCCACAAGAGCATGAAGCACTTATATCTCCTTTGACACCGGAAGCGGTAAAAGAGGATGTAAAGAAGAAGTATTTAGGATGTTATTTATGTTGTAAAGTATCGAGGTGAAATGCTTTTGTAAAAACAAAAAAAAGATAAACCCAAACTTACATTGTCATTAGGGTAGAGAACTCTGGAGATGTTCTCTGCATTGTTCCTTTCACAGACAGCATTGATGTAATCTCCATTGTTAACTGCAAAAAATAAAGACAGACACTGTGATATATGTACATGCATATATGCATATATAATTAGTCTGAATGTAACACATAAGAGAGTATCCCATAAAAGAGCAAAAAATATATAACATATAGTGTGCATTTTCATATAGGTATAGAATAAAATACAAAAGACACATACAGCACTGGAATAAATGTAAAATAAAGCCACTGAATATCTTACAACAGTAGCTATGTAAACAGTACAAGCTACCACTATACCCAGTGCTTACAGGAACAATGTAGCAAGTACTTACAGGAACACTGTACCCAGTACTTACAGGAACTGTAAGCTGTACTCACAGGAATGTAGCAGCCGTTATTTAAACAGTACAGGCTAATACTGTACCCAGTACTTACAGAAGTGCAATTGGAAGCTGTTTGGTGCTTTGCAGGACCACAGTCGAAGTGTGTTCACAGTGTTGTTGCCATAACCAGGAACTGGGGTATCATACGGCATAGCAAACAGCACCTTGAAGAAGTAAATCAGAGGTAAAGAACATAGGTTGAGATCCAAAAAATGAAATGAAATGTATGAATACCTCAATATCTTACTTCTTTTACAAATATAGCTTTGAGTCTGAGCATCAATGTATTCTTGAGAGATTAACACAAAGGTTTCCCCTTGTCTTTCTCATTCAAACATTACATCTACATTTTTTTATGTAGGTTACCATGATTTTCATCATAGGCTACCCGAGAAACTGCAATATCAAACGGTTGTTCACACTGGGTACCTTGGATGTTGATGTGGCAAACTCTTGGGTGTACAGTGACCCTTTTCTGACCAAACAATGGTATTTAATCTGTTCAAAATGAATGCTCTGTTTAATTCTGCAGCAACTGTTGATTTGTCTTTCAGACTTTTGTAATAAAGCCATTTCAATGTGTTTCGAATGAATTCTCTTATACATTGTGACTGATTTAAAAAAAACTGGAACACGTGGACAAGCAGGGCAGTGAGAGACTGACCATTACATGTGGACAAGGAGGGCAGTGAGAGACTGACCATTACATGTGGACAAGGAGGGCAGTGAGAGACTGACTATTATATGTGGACAAGCAGGGCAGTGAGAGACTGACCATTACATGTGGACAAGCAGGGCAGTGAGAGACTAACCATTACATGTGGACAAGCAGGGCAGTGAGAGACTGACCATTACATGTGGACAAGCAGGGCAGTGAGAGACTGACCATTACATGTGGACAAGCAGGGCAGTGAGAGACTGACCATTACATGTGGACAAGGAGGGCAGTGAGAGACTGACTATTATGTGGACAAGCAGGGCAGTGAGAGACTGACCATTACATGTGGACAAGCAGGGCAGTGAGAGACTGACCACCACAGAATTCTGTACACTCACCTGAGCATCCACCCACTTGTCCTGATCATTGACCTTTTCAACTCGGCCATAAAAGTTCACGGGCAAGCAGTATTCAGGTCGAGATTTTTCCCAGGGGTTTCCAAATCGCAGCCAGTCATCAGGTTCCTCAACCTGTAAACACAGTCATGTAGCTGATACAAAAGATATAAAAGACAAGTCAGTTGCTTATCGTCTACAGGATTTGGCAAACTGACATCAGCATTAGTTTGCCATCTGTGGTTTTTCTAGGGCAATCTTACATTTGGTAATTAAAACTGCTTCTGAACGGTCAACATTAATAATAACCTAGTTTATATCAATGAAAATATGTCTACTATCAAACTATGAGCTGAACATGTTAAAAAGCCCTAAACTATACACACCAACATAAAACAGAGACATAACAATAAACATAAAACATGTAAATACAGGACATGAGGCCGAAATCCATAGTTAGCCCCGGAACCCAGACAGGGAACAGAGATAACAAGAAATTGTGTTTGTACACAAACGGCACCACCCATAGTTAGCCCCTAAACCCACACAGGAAACAGACATAATGAGAAATTGTGTTTGTACACAAATGTCACCACCAATGTAGGACTGCAGGTTACCACCTGGTGCAGCTGTTTGTTTATTTTGTGTGTGGGCCTAAAAACCACTTCTCTGGAGGTTGAACGGGGTATCTGGCATTTGCCGTGATGGTTTGCTGTCTAGACTGAGATTGTGTAGTCTCAGGATAGTGTGGTAAACCTTTAGAAGCAGCAGCTCAGATGGGACAAACATATGAATCAATTTTTTTTTTTAAATGTTTAAAAAAAACGGAAAACGATCTAAGCTGCATCTCTTACCTGCCATCCATTCTCAATTCTCTGTGTGAAAATGCCATAATCATAACGAATGCCATAGCCATAAGCGGCCAAGCCGAGGGAGGCCATGGAGTCCAGAAAACATGCTGCAAGACGACCTAGGCCGCCATTTCCAAGGCCAGCATCTTGCTCAATCTCTTCCAGTTCCTCTATGTCCAAGCCCAGCTGTGGACCAATGATATGGTGTATATGTACGACCAATGACTAGTCTCTATGTCCAAGCCCAGCTTTGGACCAATGATATGGTGTATATGTATGAGCAATGACTAGTCTCTACGTCCAAGCCCAGCTGTGGACCAATGATATGGTGTATATGTATGATCAATGACTAGTCTCTATGTCCAAGCCCAGCTGTGGACCAATGATATGGTGTATATGTATGACCAATGACTAGTCTCTATGTCCAAGCCCAGCTATGGACCAATGATATGGTGTATATGTATGACCAATGACTAGTCTCTATGTCCAAGCCCAGCTTTGGACCAATGATATGGTGGCATATGTATTAGCAATGACTAGTCTCTATGTCCAAACCCAGCTGTGGACCAATGATATGGTGTATATGTATGACCAATGACTAGTCTCTATGTCCAAGCCCAGCTGTGGACCAATGATATGGTGGCATATGTATTAGCAATGACTAGTCTCTATGTCCAAACCCAGCTGTGGACCAATGATATGGTGTATATGTATGACCAATGACTAGTCTCTATGTCCAAGCCCAGCTGTGGACCAATGATAATGTGTATATGTATGACCAATGACTAGTCTCTATGTCCAAGCCCAGCTTTGGACCAATGATATGGTGGCATATGTATTAGCAATGACTAGTCTCTATGTCCAAACCCAGCTGTGGACCAATGATATGATGTATATGTATGACCAATGACTAGTCTCTATGTCCAAGCCCAGCTGTGGACCAAATATAATGTGTATATGTATGACCAATGACTAGTCTCTATGTCCAAGACCAGCTGTGGACCAATGATATGGTGTATATGTATGACCAATGACTAGTCTCTATGTCCAAGCCCAGCTGTGGACCAGTGATATGGTGTATATGTATGACCAATGACTAGTCTCTATGTCCAAGCCCAGCTATGGACCAATGATATAGTGTATATGTATGACTAATGACTAGTCCCTATGTCCAAGCCCAGCTGTGGACCAATGATATGGTGTATATGTATGACCAATGACTAGTCTCTATGTCCAAGCCCAGCTGTGGAACAATGATATGGTGTATATGTATGACCAATGACTAGTCTCTATGTCCAAGCCCAGCTGTGGACCAATGATATGGTGTATATGTATGACCAATGACTAGTCTCTATGTCCAAGCCCAGCTGTGGAACAATGATATGGTGTATATGTATGAGCAATGATATAGTGTATATGTATGAGCAATGACTAGTCTCTATGTCCAAGCCCAGCTGTGGACCAATGATATGGTGTATATGTATGACCAATGACTAGTCTCTATGTCCAAGCCCAGCTGTGGACCAATGATATGGTGGATTTGTATGACCAATGACTAGTCTCTACGAATATTTGTAAACATGATGAGATTAGCCAGTACAATGCAGAGGTTAAATGGTATTGAAAATCCATATCACCAAGGCAGTAAATAAACTAAATAAAACATTTTTCAACATGACAATTGTTTCCTACTGCAATATTCGGATTTCACCCAAGGGCTATTCACAATCCATGAAGACAAATTGAGGTTGGTGGTTAAAAAATTTTTTTTTTTTTAGAATGTGAGGGATCAAGAAGGTAAAACCAGTGTTCTTTAATTGGTGGCCTGCCAAAAATGTCTGCCTCGCCATCTAGCAGATACATTGTTTCTGTACTACACTGCTGCACACATTTTGCAAACCAGCAGCAGATGTCACACGAGCTGAAAATTGTAACTGTCTTCTTCTTCTTCACGTTCATTGGCTGTAAACTCCAGCAGAAAGTTCTGGTTGTTTATCCACCTCTAAACTTTAAAACTTGTTCCAGAATATGACTGTTGTGTGCACATCCATTTTACAGATCTGACTTACATGCACTGCGACGTCAAAAGGAAACCCCTAATTAGTCAACTCTCACGACATGCTTGTTAGGGAGGCAGTGGGTCTATTCTTGGGAAGTAATTTTGTGCTACTCAATTTAACAAATACACTGCTACCAATATTTTTTATTTATCTTCCAGTGGCCCATAAAAAAACTGTACTAGTTTTGCTGACTCGGATGAGTAAAAAAAAAAAGGTCGAAGAACACTGTTCTAGAAGATCTTAATATTAAAGAAAACTGATTCACAAACAATATCACTCTCAGAAAATATTAAGTGCAAATGTATGTTATATATATGCATGTCTGTGCCTGTGTGTATGAATGAATGTGTGCACATGTTACAATGAATGATTGACGCCAGTGATTGAATGCATTTTTAATTAACAAACATTATGATGCATTTTTAAAAAAACAGTAACTGTGCATTCTTCTGCTTCACTCCTCATCTAAATATTTCTTTTTCCTTTAGCCCTTCTCTTCTTTTTCTCCATTCATCCTCCCCACTCTTCTTTGTCATCTTCCTCATCATATCAGATTATTGGATTCATGTTTCTGGAGCAAGTACTGGTAATCATGAACCTTTTATTTCTATATGATCTGAATTTATAAGGTAGCTGATTTTGCCTTTTAACCAACTTGTTAGCCAGCTTTTAACTTTTGCACACACATATTTCTGTCTTTGACTCTCTTGACCAATTTATCCTCAGCAACTACAGACATCATATAATCTTAGCTATAAACCAGAAGGACTAAAACAGGACATCACTTGTTTTAGTATGTAATCATTTTCAACATCACTGTATATTTGGCATTCTCATGTGTGCTCAGTCCATGGATGCAGCAGCCACTTCAAGATACTTCTACTGATTGTTCTCATGAGGAGTTGTTATAATGTCTCCTATATCAGCCTCGAAGATGGCATAGATGTGTTTCAACATGCTTTATTCCCAGGTCACACAACTATTTTTGTACCAGATTCGTCATCATAGATCAGCCTAGTCCATATAGTGTTGATATCTGCTCTGTTCATGCTTTTCCTGCATGAGTTGGTGCAGTGCTTGCCAGCTGGTCTATTCATTCATTGCCTTTTACACCAGCATGCCCAGGTGTGTAGATCCAGGTAAGGGAGGCTAAGTTAAGTGAGAGTTCCAAATACTTTCTACCCATTTATGTTTTAGTAATAAAGAAAAGTGGTGTGTACCTGATACATGGCTTCATCACAGGAGCTTTGGATGCCCAAGTTGACCATGGTGTTGGACAGTGTCCGGCCCATGTAGAACTCCAAGGACAAATAGTAGACTCTCTGTGAAGGAGAAACATATGAACACTGATGAAGCTGACTGATCATAGGGTCCACAGTAGATATGTATTCTGCTGCACTCATTTTGATATGTGTGTGCCCCAAGATCCACAACAGAACAGGACAATTTTATCAAATGAGTGACATCTTATACAAGAAACTTCTTGTCGAAAAAGGAAAGGGGGGGGGGGGGGTAGTTTAGCAAAATAATTATTGTATGTTACACATAATCAGTGAAAATGTAGAGTTCTTGAGCGAGGGATGGGGTCCTCGAGCCTAATTAAAACGAATAATAATAAATATAAACATACTTTAACCAGCGCTTGCATAGAATAGAGAGAATTAAATGGTAGGAAAGAATCAGTAATACAGAGCTCTGTGAGAGAAATAAACAATTTCCAGTGAATCAAAAAGGTGAGGAAAGCTGCAGCCACTGGAAGGGTACATGTTGATAAAACCTGACACAATGTACCTAGAATGCTTTGACACTGCAGCAGAGAAGGGAACTGGAGAGTCAAGTGAAAAAAGGCAGGGAGGACATGGGCAGGACAGAATAGAGGCATGTTACCGTGACTGATAAGATGACTTGAGTTCAAGGCTTATACTTCATTGGGGTATTAAAAATAGAAGAAAAAGATAAAATACCAAGAGGCCCCAGTTTTGAAATAAATGTACAACTCGAGACTTAAAACATACGATATCAGCATGTGGGCTGTATACGTGGATGAAATAAAAAATGACAAAGTTAAGTGATCAGCTGACAATCATTGGTAATTCACAACAGAAGTGGAGAAAGAATGGTAATGAAAGAGGAGAAAGAAAAATAAGCAAAAGAAAAGGGTTAAGCAGCTGCAAGAAAAATAGAATAAAAGAGCCTCAACTGCAGAAAAAGAGCCATCACAAAGAATGACAACTGCTAAAATAATACTGCACATAAAGTAAAACTCTGATTTACCGTCATCATCCGAACCAGAGGTGTGACAGACAGCTGAATACACAGATAATACAAAAGTATAGTAACATCATTTCACTATGGGCTTGGGACCAAAATGAAAATAAAATACTTTATAGTGTCAATACATAATGTTTTTAATTTTACAAAATCATCAATATAAACTTCAATATAAGAGCAGTAATGTACAGAAATGTACTGTGATACTATAAACCTACTTTAAAATATTCTGGCACCTCCATCTGTGCCTTCCGCACTCATACAGAACAACCACAGCTAGCTTTATATACTGGGGTGTAAAAGTTATCCATGGACAATTTTAAAGGGGTCTATTTGTTTGTTGATACTCATTATATTTTACTTTTTTGTTAAGACTGTGACAGATAAATGAAACTGATGGTTAAACCAGTGACGGTTTATCATAGTTTTACTGTAATGTCAACTCTACAACATCCTGGTTCATGTGGCCACTAGAAAACAAACATTCAAACACTTCACAATGCTGCTGCCACATGAAAAGTCATGTTCCACTTCCATACATCTACAGAAAAACATCACTAAGCACGCTAATGTGACTTGACATATCACAGAATTACAACACTCAGAAACACACAGCGATCTTGCAGAAATAATGAGAAAATAAACAATTTTCATCCCTAGTGTCTTTTATTCACTCTGTGCTGTGCTAAAATCATATAGGTCAGGTAACAATATGATGAAGTGACAGGTTCAATTCATAGCATTTTTTTCTATTCTTTGGAACAATGCATTCAGGCTGCATCAAATAGTCAGAAATGAGAAAGAAAGGTTATTCTTTTATTATTTATTGTGGGGAAGATAAAGGACAACCATGACATTATGTTTCCAAGTATTTAGGTTGCCTGAAGTCCAACGTGTCAGGCTCAGGCTCAGAACCTAGTCTAACATACCCGACCCAGCCAGCCAATGAACCCAACCAGTGAATTTCATGGAAGTAAAAGGCCCTTTATCCTTATCCTACTTGATTTTCTTTGTTCTATCCTCTATAAAAAAAACATCTTGCTATCCTATACTGCTTTGAAGTGCTCAGACTTACCTTGTACATCCTTAATTTAGGTAACAGTAGGGGCTTTTTTTTAGTGCTGGTACCCACCACAAGTCGGCTCTGTGGCTAAGTCGATGCGAACGCTTCGTAATGCCAGGATGCCAGGTTCGATCCCAGCTGCGGGCTATGCGCCTTGCGTTGGTTTCGACCGTGGTATCAAGAAAGCCGACCGTCCAGAAAGAAATGGCAAACTACTGGACATAAATTTGCCTAGAAAAACCACACGTCTGCAAGCCAAGAGCTGTTGGGGTTGGTTCGCAACGTCCTGTAAAGGATACGCAACTAACCTTACCCACCACAATGTGTCTATTATAGTAGCGATGAGAAAATCATGCACAGAAAAAAGGTAACTGTGTACTGCTGCACACCGACAGAAAAAAAACAAGGGCAAAAGACGGATGGCAAAAGACGGAAGCAAGGAAGCACAGGCTGAAGCATCATCAACTATCTACTTCCCAATACTTAAAACATAGAACAGGGTTACTGCTTAAACTGCCTTAAACAACATCAAGTTGCATGACAAGGTCAACCCAGACAAGTGAAATAGACATTCACTTCAGAAATCAATGAACCAGTTTTTCAAAGTCAGCATTTGTTAGTGAAGGAAAGACAGGTACAACAAGTAGGCCAAAAACACACAGTGATAACCATAAGTATGTGCCATAGTGACATCATCAGCATGGAGCATGTGTAAACACACAGAACCACTAGTAGGTGGTGTGGCAGGGTCATGTTACATGTGTTGGTTTATCAGCTGTACTGTAGGAGTTCATTCTGGCCTATAACTGCTTTGTTAAATTAGAATTAGCTTGACAAGGTGAAAATCCTGGCAATACAAACACCAATTTAGAAAATGGAGAAATGTAACATATATCTATCACAATGGTAGTGGTACAAAATACACAAGTTAGACTTCACTACGACAGGCACTGAGAAAAATAATAGTAATATAATGATAGTAAGTAAGTAAGGGGTCCCTTTCTATACCTTCAGACACATTGGGCATATAGTGCTAGGCCTATATTTCACCCCCTCTAGTCGTGTGTGAGTTTTCATAGGAAATTCCCTGGGACAGCCCTGTGGTCTAGGGGTGCTATGACATGCCTTCGTTCGCTGTGTAAATACAACGAGCCCAAAACTTGTCTTAGCTTCATTCGACTGGGTCGACACACTGGCACCCAGATGGAAGTGCACAGCTGTCTTTTCTCCCAGATGAAAGTGAGCCCCTGTCTTTTTTGTGAACAACCGTTCGAGGGTTAAAGAAAGGTAAAATTCAGTAATACTGATAGGTCAAGGAAATCCATGATGAAGGCCAAGTCACGAAGTAAGAACGGTGCTTCCAGACAGGGTAGAGTGAGGGCGAAGAACAAACGAAAGTAAGATACACTGGAAATGGAGATGCAATAAACAGTAACAATGGTGAGAAGAACCAACACATGACACACCTAGAATATAGGAGTTTTAGTGTTAAATGAACAGGGACAAAGACTTACTCAAACTCCAAAGCCCCTACAGGACTGCCCCTGGAAACTCTCTAAGAAATCATGCACCCGGTGAGATGTGGTGAGAAATCTGAACAGCACCCTATATTTTACAGAAAAATTGGCATTTGGTGGGTGATGTAGCCAGCATCCTACTTTCTGCATTTACATCTCAGGACCGAACCTGGTACATATGCAGAAGACGCAGTACTGAGAGCTAAAAATGCAAATGACCTACAACAATAACTGGACATTGTGGTAAGGGTGAGTGCAAAAAAGATCTGTCGATGAATATAAAGAAAACAGAGGTAATGGTTATATCAAAGAAAAGAATACCAGCAGTGTAGTATTAGAATAGAAGGTAAAAAAGTTATTCCAAGTCACTAAATTCAAATATCTGTGTACAATTATAACGTCAGAGGGAAGAAGTGTGTCAGAAATTAGGAGCAGATCAGACCAGGCTAAGGTTGCATTTCACAGAATGAAAATCCTCTTGTACAACAAGTCCCTCTCTTTGGAGTTCGTGATCTTGTCCTGCCACCTAATGCTAAGTATTCTTCTTAAGCATCACATGTGAAAGCTATTTAGTTTCATGCTAAAGTTCTAACTATCCATTATTTTCTGCCGCTGTTGACACATTAAGTATTCACAGTTGATCTCCTCAACTGCTGGTCTGCTGCTTGTTTGGTCTATGATATTCCGTCAGTTTACATTCCCTTAATTTCCCTTGCTACTGTCATTCTCCAGGTTTCCTAAGGTCATCCATATGTCCTCTTTCCATCTGCTCCCCATCAGAGAGCTGCCCTTGCAAACATATCACAGTCATCTCCATCTTCTTCCTCTGATAACATGTACCTGTGATGAACATTTCCTTTTCTACTAAGTTCTTCATCTGTGATCTTGATTAACAAAATATTCACAGGATTCTCATTTGACATTTAATCTGTAAAGTCAACAGCTAATGTGTAATCCCTGGTGTCATTTTCCAGCCCTCGCTGTTGTATAATTCATTCATTCAGTAGCATGTCTCTCGCGGAACCTCGCTGCCATAAAAACCCTCCGGAAAACCTTCCTATCATGAGCAAGATGTCCTGCGTCTGATACACCCATCTGGAGATCATCTGCCACATCCTGCACCCATCTTCTCCTTGGCCTTCCTCTTCCTCTCTTCCCAGGCATATACCCCTCCATTATTGTTCTCTCTAGACTTCCATGACGTTTCAAGTGACCAAAATATTTCAATTTTCTTTGTTTTATTGTCTTTACTAGCCAACCCTCTTCAATATTCAGCTCTTGAAGTATGGATGCATTTGTTCTTTTCTTTACCCAAGATATTCTTAGAACCTGTCTGTAACATTTTATATTCAAATGCATTTATGCGCTGTTTCCGCTTGTTTAGTAAGTGTCCAGGTCTCACAGGCGTATGTTGCAATGGGAAAGATGCATGCTCTTAAAAATCTGACCTTTGTAATTCTATCTGTACAATTCCATAATTTATTCAGTTGTTTTAGTCTTTGAAGAGCAATTGATAGTCGCCGTTTAATTTCTTTCATTGTGTCACCATTGTTGGTAACCAGTGACCCAAGATATTCAAAATTTTCCACCACTTCCAATCTTTCCTTATTAACATATATTTCCTTCTCCATGGCAGTTTTGTTTGTATGCATTATCTTTGTTTTTGCTATGTTAAGAAATAAGTTATGATTTTCACTATTTCTTTGGAGTGAGGTTAATAAGTTTTCTAAACCACTTTGTGATGTTGATAGTAATACTGTGTCATCAGCATAACGAATTTCTGGTATTTCATGACCACCGATGTTTAGGGCATCATATTGTTCCTTGTTTATATCATCTCTTACATTTCTCATTATATTTTCGGCGTACAGATTGAACAAATACGGTGACAGCACACATCCCTGACGGACTCCTTGCTTGATGCCAAACCAGTCTGATGTCTCTCCATCTATTCTGACTGCTGCTTGCTGATCTTGATAGAGCATTTTAATGAGCTGCACTATATGTGATGGAAAGCCCATATTCCTCATGAATTCCCAAAGCTTCTGATGTTGTACACAGTCAAATGCTTTTGAATAATCTACAAAACATAAGAACAGATTTACATTAAATTCTCTACACTTCTCTATTATTAAACGCATGTTGAATATATGATCTCTTGTTTCTCTTCCCTGTCTAAATCCAGCCTGAGCTACATTAATCTCTTCTTCCATTTTCTTATGCAGTCTTCTCATTATAATTTTTAGTAGAATTTTGCTTGCATGACTGATCAGGGCAATAGTTCGATAGTTTGTACATAATTTCAGGTCACCCTTTTTTGGTATTGGAATGAAGATAGTTCTCTTCCAGTCTTTTGGCCAAATACCATATTTTTTCACATAATGCATGATAGATTTTTATGCTTTCTTCTCCTCCCGCTTTAATCAATTCAGCTGGTATCTCATCACATCCAGGTGATTTACCATTTTTCAGGCTCCTTATTGCCCATGAAATTTCATCTAATGAAGGTTCAGGTTCTGCCTCTACTGTTACTGGTTCATGTATATCATTCATATCCTCACTGTCATTCATATCATACATTCCGCTGCAGTATTCCTGCCATCTTCCTAGAATTTGTCTAGATTCTGTTAAAGTATTTCCCAACTTGTCACAAATAACATTTAACTGAGGTTGAAAATTTCTTGTCAATAACTTCATTTCCTTGAACATTTCGTAATCTCTTCCATTTTTATGATGCTGCTCTATTTTAATACAGCAATCTTGTACATACTGATTTTTATCCTTTCTTGTGTACTTTCTTATTTCTCGTGTTAAAAATTTATACTTCATCCTACTGTCATTGGTTTCTCCTTTCTTTTTCAGTTCCCTTCGTTGTTTTATTAGTTCTAACATGTATGGTGTGATCCATGGTTTATGTTGCTTAGTCCTGGTGGGTATTAAGTCTTTATGTTGTATAATAGTATTACTAAAATGGTGCTCCTGTATTATCTGAGTTTGGTCTTTAAACAAATTCTCTTTCACTTCCATATATAATATATTTTTAAACACAAAATAACTTCACAGCCTTAAAATAGCTAATGCCAGCCAACTTGCACTGCATCGCAAATTATTACTCCCCACAATACTTAAAAGGCAAAAATGGTTTATGATGATCCATAAACAGAAGCAGTGAGAATACAGACTGTATGTAGCAATGAGGACTGAAATAATGGAATTTAGTTACCTGTTGGTGGGGCAATTAGCATAAGCATTTCAATTTTGCTGAGAGATTTAATGCTTATGAACTTCAGAGACGGCTCTCCTCCGAAAGGCATCCTAATATTATGGCGGCCATAAAATATCCTTACGGGGCTCAGTTCTATTAAAAATGTGCCAGCTCCGTATAACGAAACAAATGCTCTTACAGGGTCTCAGCGATATGTTACTTGCGGACCTGTTTCTGTGCCTCACCGCCGACCGTATCCTCCGCACCGCTAGGCGCAAATGGGGGCTAAAGTAGATGGCTGGGACTCACGAGCAGCAGCTACCGCATCTCCTGCAACTTCCTCCAATTAATTTGCTTGTGAGTCCTAGGCACCTAGTTTAGTCCCCCATTCGCGCCGCACGTAGCGGCGCGGGGGATGCGCTCGGCAGTGAGTTTAATCATGTTTTGCCCATGCCGAAAAGTGTGAGGATACAGGTCGGCAGGCCTGACATCTACCGCTGCTAAATCCTCAATCCGATAAACAGTATTGCTAATCTGCGTGGGAGCGCGTGGTCTACCCGCCATATTGCTTTCATCATCTGTACTGTCTCGAAATTGTCAATGGACGCTATTATCCTCTGCAGAAACCCTCGAAATTGTCAACGGTTGCTTTTATCGTCTGCAATGTTGCGTCTCTTGAAATTGTCAAGTAATCCTAGTTTTGCCGTGATTTGTTCCTTGGCAGACAGTCCGCATTTTACATATGCCTGAGCCCCGTAAGGATATTTTAGGCCGCCATAATATTAGGACTCCGTTCGGAGGAGAGCCTCAGAGACTGTTACCTGACTCAATTTACAAATAATATACCCTGCCATATTGTCTGCTTATCAAGTCAGGCTCTAACCTCGCCATTAACTTCTGACTATTGAATGCTGCCCGAATTTTTTTTTTTTAAATGGGAGAATCGTATTTTTGTGTGCAATGGTTGAGATTAACTTGATTAAGAGTTGCTCCAACCTTACTGCAACATCACCGTTTCCACACGGCATTGCATTAACCATCACACTTTGAAATGCAACTCAGAATTGACGAATGCTGTATTGCAATCAGCAGTGTATGTGAATTCGTCTTCTTTTATTAGAAGGAATAATTATATTTATATTTTATAACTTGGAGTAGAAATTACTAGAATAACTATTACTATATAGCTAGTTTATTATTTATTTATCATTGTCAACAATTTGGTGGAAAGTATCAAGGTGAAACGCGTTTTCGATAAACAAACAGCACAGGATCTTACCTTTGGATCCACTTCATAGTAAAACTGCTGGGTTCGGATCCACCTTGAAACCAAGTGGTCGCGAACCGTGTAAGCCAAAGAAAAATAGTAATCCCTTGGGGTGGCAACATTTCGGTCCTTCACCAGGGTATAGTGGAGATGCCTGTTGAACGATTTCTTGACTGTAGCCACATTCTCCACGGGCGCTATCCCTCTCATGCTAATCTGCTTACGTCGGTCGCATTCGGTAATCATGTTGTCGTGTTAGAACAATCTCGGAGACTGATTTGAAGTAAGAAAGTGGAAATAAATCAGAGCTGGAGGAGAGAAAAATTCCAAGTCACCTCGTCTCATTGGCAGACGATCGGTTCCAAGGGCCTTAACCTTTGTCGGCTTTGTCCTCACCTTGACCTGTCAAGGTCGGTCATATCAAGTATGAATGTGCCGGGCAAACTGGCAAGTTGTTGTCGTGTAATGTTACGTGTCTGGCCAGTTTTCGTTAGCTACAAAGGGAAAAGCCAAATAGAGAATTAGTATAACAGATAACCACTTCTCCACATGTTTGTTGTAATGGGATTTGTTGTACTCAAGTAGCAATAACAAATACACCAGAAACCCGCCCTTCATAAACACAAGGCTACGTCGTAACCGTTTGTGACATAATGAAATTGTCTGATAAGATTGAATGGATTTTCTGGAATATTACTGTAAAGAATCACGTCCGCTGGTGGCTATTTGAGTTACTAGGTGTTGTTCTTGCAGGCTGCCATCCCGGGAAATGGACGAGGGTGGGGAGGGCTGGGGTGGGGTGCATTAGCAAATGTTTATTATGGTTGGGATTTTGATAATTTACCTTTAACATGTTTGCTAATTTGGATTACACTCATAATGTGCACGCAGGTTGAATAGATTATGTTTGAAAACCCGATTACTTAGATCGCCTTTACATACATAATTGTGGTCCTTTGCACCCTCTATTGAAATTAAAATTCAAGCACTGGAAAGTATATCTTTGAGAAAGACTGTTTCTACAGCATACAAAGACAACATCACAGATGACGAAGTTGGCCTTGTTATCACTCAGCACATTGACAGTCTCGAACCTAGGAGCCGATGGAAAATGCAATGATACGGAAAATTAACAATACCTGTCAGCCACTCATTTAAGATACAACAATGTTTGGCGGAAAAGGCGGATGTGGGGGGGGGTGGGGGGGGAGGAGGAGATGAGAAGACACAGGGCAAAAAAGACCTGGATAATACTATGGCTGACTCAATCAATCAATCAGGTGCCATCTCCACAATGAAGGTTGGCTGCAATGGATCTCAAACAATCCCTGTCTCTTGCCCTTGATGTACACTCCCTCTTACTGCTGTTTATCCATCTCTTGATGTTATCCTCCCACTTGTAACGCTGTCTGCCTTTTGCTCGCCTACCTTTAACCTTTCCCTCTAGGATGATCTTTACAATACTGTAATGTCTTTTAATATGGCCAAAATATTTCACTTGTCTCTTTTTTTTATTTCACCTAGCAACTCTCTTTTCATTTCCAATTTTCTCAGTACCTCTGTATTTGATAGCTTTTGTTTCAATGACTTTGGCTGACTAGACAGGCCAAACTTGCAAATATCAAATCCAGCGCAAGCCCAGGAATCCCATCCAACCATAAGGTTATATTTAGTGCCCCGACAAGAGCCGCGGTGGGGCTTTAGAAAAATAAAACTTGTGTCATATGTTAAGGCGGATTATGAAAAAAAATAATTTAATCACTATTTTTCTCCATCTCACTGCCATTTGCATCTTTTTCTTAGTGAGTATTTTTTTGCATTGTGAAATACCTTATGTCTGCATTGTGCGGGGACAATTGTTTGTTCACCAGTTTTTGTAAACAGACAGTGTGGAACATTTGATTTGGTCTTCTTCACTGGCAGAGGAACGAAGCAGGTACCGGCTGACCCGATTGCCGTGAACTGGAAAGTTCGACTAAGGCTAAGACTGAGACTTTATGTGCTAGTAAAAATCCACACAAAATACTTATCGTTGTTTATTTAAAAAAAAAAAAAACGATTGAAGTTGACTGCAGTTCCTGCAAAGCACGCAGCATGTTGATAAAAATCGCTACATTTTTGCAATATTTTTTTTAAATTATTGGACCTGGTCACTGCATTTAAAGTGGGTACTATTGTGGTAATAGGGGATTCTGATCACTCTCCTAATTAGTACATATTGTTTTTTTTTTTTTTTTTAATATGTTTATTGGTTTAAAACATCAGATACAAATTCTCTTTACATAAACAAAAGCAAAATCAATAAGGTGATGTGCGAAAAATGATGATGGTTTGTACCGTTTCTCACTGACATTTCACAGAAAATAGAGACAGGGGGAGGCAGAGAGGATCAGTGGGTTCGAGGAAAGCTGGGGCTGTTGGGTCTGTCAGCGGAAACGGTACATTTCGATGGTAATGTTTTACAGGTTTTAAGATATACATATATTTACAACAACAGAGTGAGTGGAAAGAGTGAATTAAAGAAAAAATGGAAAAAGGAGAAGAGAAAAGGGGGCACGAAAGCGTAAGCGGATAAGTTAAACAAAGGATGGTATGGAAATAGAATTTTTTTTGAGGGAGAAGCAGCGGGATATATTTACATGTGCCTTTCGGCTATTATTAAACATTTTAAACAGAAAAAAATATTTTTAAAACGATGATAATGTGAAACAACATTATTTTGAGTCATATCAAATATTTACAGTAGAAGCCAAGACGGGAGGGGAAACAACCCCCAAGTAGGCCTGACAGGGTAAGGGGAGATGGAAAGGAAAGCAAAAGGACACGGGGCACCACTCATTACTGTACATTGCCTTTCCCGGCAATGTGTCAGTTAGCACTTGTGTTAAATTTATAGAAACATGTGTGAGAGGGAGGTTCGGGGAGTCACATATATACATTACATCAACGAAAAGGAACAAAAAACACAGTTCAGACGGACAGGGGAAATAGTCCATGAGAGAGTAATGTAGAGGGAAGGGGGGGGGGGGTGTGGTAGGGCGTAGTGGCGTTACGTCGTTGCCCTTCTGGTGGTCGCCAGAAAAAGGGAAAATGTAAACAAAGCGTCCGCGCTTCCAGCTTGTTCTGTCTGTAAGGTGTTATTGAAAGTAAGTTTAAACTCACCAGATGAAATTGTTAACTATTGTCTGATAGAGTTACTTACTAATTCCCCGTCCTTTTTAGGATGGAATTTTTCGTTATTTGAAGCCCTACTCTGGCTTTTGCCAGGGGCCGCAATATAGCCTGGCCATAAATATGGCCTAAAGACTGAACGCGATTTCTGGGACCTCTCCACGGTGATCCTCACCCACATGGTGGCACATTGTGTCATCGGGTGTTTATCGCTTGTGTGATGTCCTTGTGGGGTAGAAAGTCAGTCTGATAGCACGGCATGAAAGGGGAAACTAGTAGGAAATAAGTTCTTGCTTACGATTGTGTCCCTTACACGGATAAATAAATCTAAATTAATAAAAATGTAATTTTTTCGAGTTTGTTAGTTCTTAACTACTTTTTTTTTTTTATCGATCGCCGGCTGTGAATTCCGGCGGAAAGTCCCGGTTAATCGTCCGCTTGGACTTTTGGCTTTCACCTGGACCTGATTTTTGCGTGTACAACCGTTTTACTGTTCCCTGCCTCATGGGCAGCTTCACTCCGACTTCGAAGGAAGACGTCAGGCCTATTTCTAGGATGACTGTGGCTATTGTTTTGTGTGGGTTGAGACGTTGCCTGATTTGTGTGGTGTCCACTTTGTCTCCTTCTCCGCAGGTACTGCCCCCGGAGTACCCCTTTGGGGCAGCCCCCTGTGGAACGGTTAGTCCTCAAGGGAAGGCAGGGGCAGATCATGGGCATTCCCCGCCATCCAAGGAGGCTTCCATGTATGCAGAGCCGGCACATGGCGCTCTGGTTCTGGGCTCACCTAAGGAATCGTCACGTCCTGCACATGCCTGCTTAACCTCACAACCGTAATAGGCCTCCCGCTCGACAAGGGCTGCGCCCTCTGGAAGTCAGCGGGGAGAAGCCCTAGGGTTTTGGACTTCTGTGACCACACGAATAGGTACATTCTTTTTTTTTCTTTGCATGTTAGATTTCTTTGACGAGCCGTTAGCCCGACAGAATTTTACATCCTGTGTCAGGCATATCGTTATCAGTTTGGTCCCAACACTCGGGCGAGTGGTGTCTTTGGGTGTATACATTTGGTCTTTTTCCGTTCAATATAAATTGTGATGGTCAGATTTTTAGCATGCTCGTGCGCCGTAGGATCTAGTTGTGTCGGACATTTAGGCTTAGCCATCCGATGGATGGTTGCTGTCTTGGCGTACCTCAGCGCGGTGACGACGACACAGAGGGTTAACCAAGGATGTACATGGATGGCAAGCCTATGGATGGTTGCTGTTGTGGTATACCTCAGCGCGGTGACGACGACACTGAGGGTTAACCGAGGATGTACATGGATGGCCAGCCTATGGTTGGTTGCTGTTGTGGTGTACCTCAGCGCGGTGACGACGACACTGAGGGTTAACAGAGGATGTACAGTGAACAATGTTCTCTTCACTCCGCAATCTTTTAACCAAGGGTTGTAATTTTAGCTGTACGTTTGGCGAACATACTCATGTTCCTAATGAGTTTTGATAACCTTTTTCGCCCAAGCGTTTGGGGGCGGGCTGATGAGAGCCACAAGGACACATCACCTCGGGGGGCCGCCAAACTCCGAGATCCCCTGACAGCTCTGTTAATGCTCATTTGAGACATTATCCGTGGCGCACGACGAGGACGTGCTGCATGGGTCTTGCGTGAGGTTCCGTACGACCAGGATAGTGAAGGACTGGCGCCCGAGTGACGTACGGAGTATCTCCTTATACACATCATGTTTGACTTAACTTTCCCTTACACCTGTGAAATAAATCACCGCGCCACTTCTAAACTACTGAACCGATTGCTTTCAAATTTTCACACAACGTTGCCTCTGACTCAAAGCGTGATTTTTTGTGTCATAAAATCGCACAAACCACGAACGACGTAGCTTCAGCAACGGTCAAATCATTTTTTGTTTCGTTGCCGGCCCGGATGTGTTTGTAGTCGGTTGGCCACCTTTGACTGTGTAACACCGATCTTCACATTATTATAATATTTTTTTTCATTTCTACCAAATGTTTCAGTGTTTAGAAGCGTAGTTAGTTGTAAGCATTTCACCATTTTACATGGGGTGA